AGAGAGAGAGAGAGAGAGAGAGAGAGAGAGAGAGAGAGAGAGAGAGAGAATGTTGTCGAATGCTGCCGATCGACGATCGGACCAAACATTATAATTTACGCATGTGAACAATTCGGGCGATAAATGTGGGTTGAAGCAAAAGCAAGCAAGAAAGAAAGAAAGAAAGAAAGAAAGAAAGAAAAAACGAATAAACGAGAACACGAGTTGGATGAAGTCCTATTTAGCCTGCCACTTTGTAATTTGCTCACCCTCTCCAATTTATTTCCTAGAGGTTGATTTTTAGATCGACCGAGCCACTAATAAAAAAAAAAAAAAGAACAAAAGACAAAAAGTAAAAAAAAAATTAAGCCGCAGAAATTTGAAAAATCCATCATGTTTTTTGGCCTATTCTACATTTAACTGATTCAACATTTCTCGTATATCAAATATTTAGCGAATAAAACCTACGAATTTTGATTCATACGATCGCAAAGCGTGCCTTTTGATACTCTCGACATAATTCTTTTCGTTCGAGGAGAAGATCTTACTTTCCACACAGGGAAACGAAAGCTTCGTTCAAGCGAGAAAATATTACTAGTCCGTTATCGTATATAATTATCAGGGAAGATAAAGTTCAAAGTAGAGATTAACGTTCTAACGAGAAAACTTTATTTTACTATGCATAAAAGAAGAATCTTAGCAGTGCATGCTTAGGAAGACTTTCTTTTTTTTTCCTCCGTTTCTTCGAAAAAAATTTCAACGATGATTTGCCGTTGTAAAAATATTCTAGAATAGGAGAGGGTGCGCATATCTACGTAGAGCGAGATATTCACGAGTATTCTTTCCGTTTCTTTTCGATTCGTATCAATCGTGTGGTTTGCGGAGCCTGTGTTCTGTGAAGATTTTCAAATGACAACGATTATATGTGACACATCGGCTACATCGCTTATCTGAATGCTAGAGCGATCGTGGAATGATTGGAGGACGATTCTTTTGGAAAGTGTGTTCGAAGATGTATGATCGGTCATGTTAATAGATCAACGGAGAATTTAATTGCGCAGTGAAAAGAGGGAAAGAATAAAAATATAAAAAAAGAACGAAAGATTAGTAATCCATGGTTACATTAAGTTAACAAGGTTTCAACGGTCATATAAACAAATTCATTATTAGTTTTTCATATTTTTCATCGTTGATATCTTCTTGTATCCCGCCTTATCTATTGGAACGTGAATATTCCTATAAGTATGTGTCAACCCTCTCCTCCAATCATTAATATGGCTGGTCGTACTCTGTCAGTGTGCGTACGAGAAATGATTTTTCATTGAATCGCCAAGCGACAGTGCCATACGATTAATTGAACGAGAGAAATCATTTCGATTACTAGCATCGCGATTTTCATCGTTCTAAAGAGGAAAAAAAGAAAAAAGAAAAAAAAAAAGAAGATCGAGAAAAATGAAAAAGAGAGTGAAAGAACGAGGGAGGGAAAAAAAGAGACCGATGAGAGAAAGAAAACACAAAAACACAATTGCGTTCTGTATGTCTCCTATACCTAAACCAAAAAAACCAAAAGAAAAAAAAAAAAAAGAATTAACTATGTACCGAGAAGAAAGCGAGATCGTTTCATCCCGCAAAACCATCGAAATGCGAATTGCTTCCACATGTGTTTTCACATTTGAAATTTCTTCTTCCTTTTTTCTTTTTTCTTTTCCTTTTTGTCTCCGACAAAACGAGATTGTCCAGAATAAAAATTCATTTTGAATCTAATGCAATGATGCTATATTATTACCAGTCGTCGCTCGAACTTTCTCTTTCTCATTTCTTTCTTCATTACGATCGTGCATTTTTCCGTTTGATATAATCGTCACGAAGAATTATATCAGGATTCGTGAACCAATAAACGCATACGTTAAAAACTCGGACAATTATCCGTGTAACGATCCTTTACTTCATCAATTGGATTACTTGGGATTCGAAAGAAGCCGTATATATTTCGCGATGTACGATAGAACTTGCCAATGATCTTTTACACGAAAATATTCGGAGTTATTTGATTCGACGATCTCGAGTTATTATAGATTGTTATAATATACGTAATATATAATTAAATTCGATAAAACGTGGTATTTACTACGCTACGTAAACGTTACGTAAGAGGACAATAATAATTAAAATAAAAATTTCCCGATCGGACATTTTGTCGGGATATATAATCGGATATAAATTATTCATTAAAGTGCAAGAGCATAAATGAAACAAGTAATGAGGCAAAAATGTAGAACGTGGCAAAAGCTTACGCAGTATGGGCAAAGAATGAATCGCGGCCGCCACGCAGTATGTGTCAGCATTGTTCTTAATCTTCTTTAAGTATCCTTAACCCAATTGAATTAGAAGGGCATACCCCGCGGGCTGTGGAGTCGTGTCGCTTGTATTTTCTTGATTCTCTTTTCGTGCGTGAAACGCGAAGAGCGGGAGTGCGCGTTCCACTTGTCACTCCGCCGTTTCGTTCTTTTCATTCGCTGTTCAACAGAATAGAAAAGAGAATACGCTTTGCTTTCATGTATTATATCCGAGAGATGAACAATATCGGTGTTTTCGTTATCAAAATTCCGGAATAATCATCAATCGATCATTCTACGAGTGCCATTTTTTTTTCTTGATACGATCTAATATTAATACGTACCATTCGTTGAATTAATTTTCTTTACACGCTGTATAATTACATCCATACGTCTATCTCGCGTCTATACAGATCTTTATATCTTCGATCTATTATTTTTCCTTCTTTCTTTCTTTCTTTCTTTCTTTTCTTTTTTTTTTTTTTTGTCAACACGATAACACACACGACAAGTGAGTTTCTTTAAGAGAAGAGTAACGATTGTCGAGAAGACGAACTTTCTAAAAGATGTTGAGCGAGCAAGTGGATTGATCTACAGTGAAAAGATAATATTCGGTCTTAACTCATCCGATCATTTTGGGTTCGTGTCCTATAAGAACTCGCTAAATCTGTTGTGAAAGGTGTTGAACGCGGTGTATCTAAATACTTTTATCCGATAGGTGGCGACCTCGGAGGGAAACTGCTCTTCGTGTCATGATCGCGCGAGGGTGAAAGAGGAGAAGAAAGAGAGAGAGAGAGAGAGAGAGAGCGAGAGAGAGAGAAGAAAAAGACGCAGCAGAATGGAACTAATGGCACGTCGGTTGCACTGCTATCGGAAGGAAGCTAATACACATCACGTAACGCGTTTCTAAGGTATCGGCCGAGGTTTCGGTAAGCTGAAAGCGTGGGCAAAGTTGACGAGAAATGGAGCATTTGGATGAGAATCGAACCTCTGGGTCGGCAAACATCGAGACGACGACTGGTAGCGCGGAAAACGAAGTAAGTTCTTCCTCATCAATGTAATTACGTGTTTACAGGAAAAGTTTACGTTTTCTAATACACGTGTAATAATTTTAAATGCTACTCGATAGCGCAATATTTCTTTCTTAATCTCTTATTCCTAAGGTTTTATCTAATCGCATCGCGATGAAACTTTGTTGATTTTCCCGATTACAATAGATATAAATTTACTTTTTAAAAATTGCCCGTCATCGCCCGCCACTCGTGATTTCTATCGATTACTAGAGAAGTCGTTTAAAAATTAAAAGAGACGGGGGAGTTTGTGTAATCGCAGGATGGCTTCGATCTCGACGATCTTCTACCGATCGTCGGCGAATTCGGCCGTTATCAGAAACAACTTCTCTGGCTCGTGTGTCTTCCGGCGTGTCTCCCATGCGGCTTTTGCGCCTTCAACCAGCTCTTCATGGCCGACACGCCACCCCACTGGTGCAAAATACCCGGGTTGGAGAGCCTGAATGTCTCTCGAAGAAGGAGACTCGCGATTCCGACCATTCAGGTGCAATTCTCGGTCTGATAATACAACCTCCTGTATCTTCATAATGATACACGTTTCATCATGAAGAATTTACACGATTCGAAGCTTGATCCTTGATCGAGAGTGTAGATATTAATTGCTAATAATCGCTAATAATATTAATAATCCCTGTGTGCGAATTAAGCAATCGGCTAAGGGCTTGCGTTTTGTTATCGACCCTCTGTATTTGCCAGATATACGATATACAAGGTAATTAGATAATTGCTAGAATCCTTGTTTTCTTTTGCAGAGCGTAGTGTTTAGGAATGTACATTGCAGGAAAAGATACACGGTTTGTCATCGGTAGAGTAAGAGTCTACGCTTGGCTGGAAAGCTATTATTTGCTCGCAATATTGTAACAATTGGTTTCGTAATTAGGACGACAATGAAACGTACAGTCAATGCACGCGATACGATATCGATTGGACGGCGGAAAACATTTCCGTCGTGACAACAGCCTCGTTCGTGCCAAATTCATCGTGGCCCGTTGTTCCATGCGATCACGGTTGGGAGTACGAGACGTCAGAAGTGAAATCCTCTATCGTTATCGACGTTACGTTTTTTTTTTTTTTCCTTTTTTGCCTTTAATTTTCTCACTCGCAAAGGGAAAAGGATTAATCGTTATGTTTACAGTTCAATCTCGTATGCGATTATGCGATTTATCCAACGATCGGATTGGTCGCTTTAAACACAGGTGGACCAATTGGGGTGTACCTTTTCGGCACGTTGAATGACAGGTAATCATATTGTTCGTATCGATGTTTGAGGGATACAGATCGTTTCATTGCATATGTTGTTGTGTCGTATAGAATTGGCAGAAGATTGTCTTTCTTCACGTGTCTGGCCACTTTAATAACCGGTGGATTTTTAACATTCATATCGAACAGCTTCTGGACATGGGCCGCAACAAGGGTGGTCGTCGGCTTGACCATCCCAGCCATTTATCAAATTCCCTTATCATATGTAAGATCATTTGTAAAAGTAAAAAAAAAAAAAATAGAAATGAAAAAGACGAATCCAACGAGGATGCTGGAACGAATATTGATCGACGGAATGCGAACGAATGTTATTAATTTGTGTCTTGATTTCATGCGAACAGCTTTGGAACTGGTTGGTCCAAATTATCGATCATTCGTGACAGTGATGACTTGCACTTTCTACACAATGGGATTATGCATGCTGGCTGGTGTCACGTATTTGATAAGGGATTGGAGAACGTTAACCATAGTCACGAGTGCGCCATTTCTTTTGTACATCTTGTACTGGTGGTAAGTGGTGGTGTGTTACCATTTTCCCCTTTCGTCTTCTGTGTCGCATTGTAAAATGTGCAAGATCGTTTCAGGTTCTTGCCAGAGTCACCGAGATGGTTGTTGGCGAAAGGTCGATTGAGCGAGGCGAGCGATATCTTGGAACGATTGGCAAAAGTAAACGGAAAAGAGTTGCCGCTTTCTTTCACGCAAAAATTACGACAACGTATGATGATGTCACGGTCCAAAAGTGAAGAAGAAAGATTGCGTAGTGGTCCCGGTGTTTTATCACTCTTCAGAACTCCGAATATGCGATTAAAGACATGCTTGATCACTCTAAATTGGTAAATCAAAGTTCAAGCGTATAAAAAATATTATTCGTCCGTAATATTACGAATATTATTTATTTGTTTATTAATTTCGTAATTTTTGTTTTGTTAAACGTTCGCATAACGATTTTTTCAAAAAAAAATTTTACGAAATAAAGAAAATTTATTTATCGCTGATTCGATCCTTTTTTTCCCTTTTTTTCTAGGTTCGCGAACAACATGGTTTACGTTGGATTATCGTATTATGGGCCAGCATTGGGCAACGAGGAACACTTGAGCTTCTTCTTCTCGTCTCTTGCCGAGATTCCGAGCTACATGGCTTGCTGGATCGTGATGGATCGATGGGGTCGCCGTTGGCCTCTCTGCTTGAGCATGGTGGTGACTGGAATCCTGTGCATCACCACAGTTCTTTTGTCACCCGGTATCGAATCGTTCCTCTAATAAAAGCAGGGAAATGAAAAGATCGCTTCATCGGATAAAGCGATGATGAAGCGATGAAACAGAATCGTTCCTCTTCTTCTTTTTCTTTTTTTTCATCGCGTTTCTTCTTCTTCTTCTTCTTTTACAGATGCGGTTGTGACTACGTTAATTCTATTCCTCTTATCGAAATCCGCGATATCGGCCTCCTTTCTAATTATATATCCGTTCGCCGGTGAACTTTACCCCACGCAATTGCGCGGCGTAGCGATCGGTTTCTCTGCCTACATCAGCGGTCTTGGGCTCATAATCATTCCCTTTGTTACGTATCTCGTAAGTGATCGTAAATATTGTTTATCGTGTGGCGGCGGCCAGATGAATCTTCAAAGCATTTGCGTCATTTGCGCGCAGGGCAAGGAAAACTTGGTGCTGCCCCTCGTAATTCTTGGCGTCGTGTCTGTGATCGGGGGATTATCTGGCCTGCGTTTACCCGAGACTCTGCATCATCGATTGCCCCAAACCGTCGAGGAAGGGGAATTGTTTGGGAAAGATTGGACATGTGCCGACTGTTTTCGTTGCGTTCCGACCAAGTACGAATTTTATCAATGTTGTTGTAAGGAAACAAAAAAAAAAAAAGAGAGAAAAATCTAATACATGCCGACAAGATGAGATAATTATTCTCATGGACGGTTTCGTTTCTTTGGATGGGTTGTAGACCTTCGTCGGCCGCGGCGTCTTACGAGGATCTGTCGGCGAGGGAGACGGTGGAGATGCACGAGGTACCCGAGGCACCGATACCTCAAAGGCTGTTGGAGGATCAACAGAGGCCGAGCGGAGCGAGCGTGCGCAGGCTGGTTCGACAATCGAGCGTGATGGACACGCAGCGGGATTCCGACGGATCCATCAAGATGACTTATTGGTTTTAGATTTTTATCGAATCGGGCAGTTTTGAGCTTTTCGGAACAATATACGAGAATCGAATCGAAAAGGGAAGTATTATTGTATCGTTGCAGCGTTGGCCGTGTGTCTTATTTCTTCGAGCTTGTTCCTACGCGAGCTGAAATATATATATATATATATTTTTATGTATAATATTTTCAGTCTGATATCGATATCTACTTTATAATTCGACCAATTTTGCAATGTAACGATGATGTTGCTATTTTAATTGGAAACGATGAAAAAATTAATTTAGGTTACGAGATTGGCAGTTTCGAAAACAATTTTATAATAAAAAAAAAAAAGAAAGAAAGAAAGAAAGAAAAGAAATGAAAAAATATAGAAGTGACAATATTTATTTTAAATATTGATAATCTTGCGTGACAATATATTTTATCATCCGATCAACAAAATATGAATACAAGTCGAATTATTTTCCATTATTTTGAATATATTATAAAGTATTTTATTTTAATTTCATCGGTGATTTCTCAAATTACAAACATAAATTCATGATCTTTACCCTCGATCTTTTATCGATCAATAAGATGAAACCAATAAGATGATACAATCCGGAAATAATATTTAATTAAAATTGGATTCATTCGACTTGTATTTCCGGAGATAAGTTGTGCTTATATAATTCAGAGATAAGATATCTTTGAAATTATATATTTTCAAGTGAGTTCTAATCACAATCCGTAAAGTTAACGCGCGTCACGTTTTTATGGGTGAGGAGAAATTAGAATTGAAAACACATTTTGTTAATAAGATATTCTTTACTTTACGTGTACATTTTGCAATTTATTCCCATAGTTGGTACAATACAAAACACGAAGATTAAAGGAGAGGAGGGGAAATTGGAAAGGAAGGAAGTGTGGTGTTAGCCATGAAACTGACTTCGTCGAATCTTGCGATTATTCTTACGTTCCCGATCGATTCTCTTCTCCAACCTTCTTCTCCTATCTCTTCGATCTCTTCTAGAGTCGAGTGGTTCTGTTGTAGCAGCTACAATCAATAAGATCGTGTGATTTCGATATCGACTGTCGTTCTGTTTAAATATTTTTTGAATTCTTTTTCTTTTTTTTTTTTTTTTTCTTTTCTTCAGTTTACTCACCTGTCCAGTAATCGCTGCTTTAGCTCGGGTGGATAGGTTACGTATATATAATGGTCGGGCATCTCCTCGTTCGATGTGGGCATATTCTCATCCCCTGGTTCTCCCTTCCTTCTCCCGCTAGATCTACTCTCGCCAGAACCACTCTGATCGTGCGACGAGGACGTAGCCGTGATATCTCCATCCGTGTAATCTAAATTTCCGCTCCCGTCTAGCCTGTCTTCTTCTGCTGAGCTGGAAGTAGAGAGAATGGTTTTGGTGGATGGATTAATTTTTAATTAATAACGGCAATATCATGGGTTTCGTTAATTAAAACAAGCGATAAACAACGAATACGGCTTACTTGTTCGTAAATGATATGAGGTATTATTTTTTTATAATATTAATTGAAAAAGAGAGACTGTAATTTTTAAAATATAAAAAAAAAAAAAAAAACAAAAGATTACAAGTAAAAAATTACTTTGATCTTTGAACTTTTACGTAAGATATTTATTGAGTCAATGTCAATATATAAATTTCCATATCGAGTTTTCAACAATACCATTGAAAAGTTATTCCTATTGTTATCCCCTTGTATATATATTTCGCAATATATAAAATATCGAAAAAAAAGGAGACGAAATTATCTCGAATATATTTGTAACTCCTTTCTGTAATATTTCCTTTTTGATCATGCACGATTATATTATGATGACAACAACCGCGCCATTAATGATAATTTCTATTCTTGAGTTTATACACATAACTATGTATGTATATCTATGTATCATAGTATTTAATGTCTATATGTAAATAGAGGTAACGATAAGATAGTAAATAATTTCACGTTTATCTAAACTGATTAAACGTACGTACGTACTTGAATAACACCCAAATAATATAGTAGCACGCGTAAATCGACGAGAATAGAACGACCATAAAAATGGTTAACAGGTACCAAGGTGTATGCCTTTGTTGCCTCTTCGTGTCTTCCCAGTATCTGTCACAGCTGAGATACCAACATATCGCTCGGTTCAACTCTCCTAGAAAGAAAGAGAGAGAGAGAGAGAGAGAGAGAGAGAGAGAAAGAAAAATGATGGAATTCATAAATATTCGATTTATCGATAAAATTGTTTCGATTTTAACGATAATTATACCTTCGATCTCTTGGAAATCTCGTACCGAAAGATTTGTCAAAAGACCAGCGATGCAATCGCGAATCAATACCTGTCAATAGTTTTAAAATAACATGAGTGCGAAACAAACAAGAATAAGATAATCGTAATAAATGCACGAATATTTTCTATTTGCCATTCAATTTGTTGTTGTTAGTTTACTACTAATTACTAGTTAAAGATTAGTAAGCGATAATAATAAATACATGGGTCTGGAAATTTTGCTTAACAGATTTCTTCGTTTTACGGTATATGAACAAGGTGAAAAAATTAAGCCCAAATTAATTCTCTATAAGGAAAGATACTTTCTTCATACTGTCTCTTGAGAGTATTTTTTTTTTTTTAGATTACATTCAATAAACCAAGCATTTTACGAGGATCGAAGCTTTCAAAGACAACAAACAAATACCTTACGTAATTTTACATACTTAAATCCTGATCTTGGAGTTCCACGGATGACAAAAAAAACTCAACCGTTCATTAAATTCATCCGGCCTAAAAAGGTATTTATCGTAAATACTCTTCTCTTATCGTATTCCCTTATTCCTATCTCTCGTTCCATTCCTCGATTCGATCAAAATTTCAGATCAAGATAAATCCTCCCCGAGATAAAGAATCAGACCCCCATCATCTTTAACCGTTCTTTACAACCGTCCCACGAAGTCGAACTAACTTCGCATTGTAATTTCAGCTTCTGCAACTCCTCCGGTTTGCAGTTGGCCTTGAGCTTCCTCAGATGCAACCCCTTGCGCCTCTGCTTCTTGTCCACGGCCGGCAAAGCCGCTTCGACGAGATTTTCCTCGTCGTCCTCGTCCTCGTCCTCCTCTTCGTCCTCGTCCTCTTCGTTGTCGCAAGCGTTGCTCTTGTTGTCGGGGCCAGCGATCTCCACGTGATACGCCGTACCCGGTAGACGATGGTTCTCCAGAGCGCCGCTGTCTTCTCGATGGCAATATTGCTGAATGTTGGTGACAGCGCCACCTCCGGACATGGTGCAACCTTTCTCCACCGGATACGTCCTCGATAAACCGGGCCTAGACTCGCAGGACATGACCGAAGTGGAACGTTGCTCCGTGTTCTCTTTCCACACTTGTATGTCGGTGCTGTGGTGGCCAGCTTCGTCGTCCACCAAAGAATTCTCGAAATCCCTGTTCCCCAGCACATCGCATCTCATGATGTCGCAATAATCCGCCAGGCATACCGCATCCTCCGCCTGGTTTACACACAATTTTACTTATAATTCACGCACGTAATCGTCAAGTTCGAAATGATTTCGTATGAAGGCTGACTCGATTATATCGATTCTCTCGAATGGTCGAGTGGAAAACGACGATCCTTATAAAGATCTAAAACTACGATATCATCGGAAAAGATATAACGGAACGATCGTTCGTCGCTTCTACGCTCTTTTATAATAAATAGTATCGAAAGAGGCGAAAAAAATTTACCGTGTTAACGTTACTCTTGTGTCTGTTATCGAAGTGGGCATCCAAGTGTTTCTCCGCGTAAAATGATTTGCCACACAGGCCGCAGGTCCATTGCGACGATCTGTGCTGATGTTTCGCCTTTTGTTGAGGTCGAAAAATGTCCCGACTTTCGTGGAACGGGCACTCCAACGGCAATTCCACTTGATGTTTCTTCAGAATTGGCATCCATCTCTGAAACCAGGGATCAACAACAACAGCTATTTCGAAATTGGATAATCATCATTTCTCGTGAAAAATTTATGCGTACGGATTGAAACGAGTTCATTCGATAAACATTTATTCTTTACCTTCTGCACTATCCTCCTCACCACGGACGCTCGATCGCGTGGGCATGATATTTTAAACACGCTGGGTCCTGGCCACGGGATTACCGATAATAGTAACACTATCAAGACCTGAAAAACGCATTTCTCCTCTTATTTCCCCTCTTATTAATTTTCTGTCTTTCGCGAGCGGACCTCGACGTGTGCATGCCCGTAAAAAAAGTTAAATTATCGCGACACCGTTGACTATTCATCGCCTCTACATCGATGATCTCTTTCTCTCTACTACGCTTATTCGTATTGTATCTATATAGATGCGCATACATATTGTTATTTATATCGGTGCAAATAGAAAACGATCACGTCGCGTGTGGCATTGCGGGAAAAATATATTTTCACGCACTCTGATCGTTTTACCCATTTCACTTGCTCCGTCCCGTCGTGTCCGCGACAAAGTTTAATCCCCGACGATTAAAAATCCCCGACCGCCCCGCGTGAATCTCCTTCACGATCTCGAACGGTAGAAAAAAAATTGATTCGGCAATGACGCAGTCTCGCACTCGTTCTCGTGACGATGACCATTCCGCCCGTCGATGCAACAAACACTCTCCGATCTCTTCTCTTCTCTTCTCTTCCCTCTAATTACCTCGATATGAAAGGGTTGGGTCTTCATTCATAGCCCAAATTCGCCTAGCGACAGTGATCCGGTGGTAGCAACGATAAACGCACCGACACGAGAATCCCGAACAATAAAAACGGTTTCGTGCTGGTCGCGATTCACGGTCAACTAGGGACGTAACGGGGGTTGCGGCGAGGATCAGGTATAGGGGCGAACGTCGACATGGCGTTGTCGTCACCTTGTACCAACGCAGGGATGAATCGTCGCGGGGTGCTCGGAAAAAAGATTGTCGAACGAGCGATGGAAACGAGATTAATGAGAAAATTAATCCATGTGGACCGAGTGGAATTTTCGAAAAATGGGGAGGAAAAATTCCCGCCTGGAATTCGGTCGAACGGATGTTTATAATTATAGAATGTTTTAAATTCGTTACGCGTTGATAGAATTTGGAGGAACTTGGAGTTGTACGGGCCTGAACGTGGCGATCCGAGTCGGCGTCGATGACGCCGCGCCGACGCATCCATCCGACATGGAGTTTACGTGTCGAGTGCGATCGTTCCGAGTCGTAGTTCGATGCAAATGTCTTGTTTTAATAAAAAAAAAATACTATAATTTATAATTATATTTATAATCATTAATCGACTAATTCATCATCGCATTCGCAGTCGTAACGCGATTTACACGTAATGGCGATTCGCATGGATAAAAATATGGCGAGATTCGATCGATTCGAGGCACGAAGGGTGTTGTATTGTCGACGAACGATAAGACGGGGAAGGGATGGAATTTTGTCGTCGGATGGCAAGGGAGAAAACCTTTTCTCGCCTCGGCCTTTTCGGATAAGCCTTTTTATCGTTCGAAACTGTTGTTCGCGATATCGATTGCAATTTTTCCTTCTTAATTCCTTCCTTTCTTTAACTCGTGCACCTACTTGTGCCCTATGAGATGCCCAATAAGTATCGATTATGCAACATCGAAATGTAAGATCGGATCGGTTTAATGATACAATTATTTAATCGGTGAGGAACGAATAACACGATATACCGGGTAACATAATTTTTCTTTTCCTTTTTTTAGAAAGAAACGAGAATTAATTATTTCGCGTTAATTATAAATTATCATCGTGTTATCGTATTTTCGAAAACTATTGTTTCCACAAATAGAACCGATTGTTCGTTGTAAATTTAAAAAAAAAAAAACTCATTGCAATTAAAATCATGCTCGTAAAAATTTAATTTTTCCGATTTATTCGTCGATAATTTTGTTCCAGGATATTATATAATATAATATAATAGCGTTAGATCAAGGTAACGCGTCAAAATAAAATAACGTGTACAGAGCGGTTACGCTTACATATGTTGTATGGTAATGATTCCATTCGTAGCAAAGACAGTCGCGGCTTAATCGAATGAGACGAAAGTGCACGTGTACAACAGACAACAACAATGTCCTTATGTACGTCTTTACATACGAATAACTGTCCTTGGAAAAGCGTGATACACTCTTCGCGATCACCTTGTATACTCCTCCTTCGTTAGAGTACCGGGTGGGGGAATCAGTCGAGTAGAAGTTAAGTGGTTTGCCGGAGAATCCACTAGTCTGTCAGAGAAAACAGTTAGGCGAGGAAGGTTCGTCAAATTGTGTACGGTGATTTTGTAATTTTTCGTGTTTTCATCGTGGTCGCTTGTTTCGAAATCGAAATAATCGAAGGAAGTTGAACGGGATCGAGTTTTCGTATGTGCGCAGTGCGTTCAAAAATATACGGAAAAAGGTTCGCACGTTTTTATTCACGGCTTTATTCGTCGCTTATTTACAAGTGGAATTTTTGAAATTGGATCGCGGCGCGAGATAAAATCTCGAGATTTCTGGAACGATGGAAATCCAACGTTCGAACGAGAGTTCGAGTCAGTTTTCTTTCTTTATATTCGAAATCGAATCGGAACGAGATGGAGCGGAGGAGAGTTTTCGTTTTCGAGAGGATGCGACAGATTTTTCCGTCCGAGAAACGAGAACGATCGATCGGAAAAAGCGATCGAAATAGAGCGGTTTCCTTTCGATTGATTGAAAACGATCTTGGAAAAAAATTGAACGAATATTTTTCTTCTTTTTCTTTTTTTTTTTTTTTCCTATTAAACGATCGGTAAATTAAATATTGCGCTCTATTATCGATTAATTAACCGGGAACAAGGTTTTATCTCGTGTTTGTGTTCGTTATAGGGGCAACGTTCCGGAGAATTAGTATTTCGCTTCATTCACGATACTGCGTTGCAGCTGGAAAACGAACAAAACAATAAGTTGTGCGTTCATCGTACACACATTTGTGTAACTAACGCCCGTCCAAGTGAACGTTCTGAGAAAGCGCTTACTTAGAATGTTATTTAAGGCCGATGTACCACGTCCGCATCGTTTCAAATGCCGAGAAGTCGAAAGCTTGACCCGCGATGAACATTGCTCTCCTTTCAATTTCAACGCTTTATCGAGATTAATTAACACGGATCTGGTTAGTTAGTTAAGTTCTATCGTCGGGAAAATTCAAACGACTTCCTATTAAATTATATATATATATATATATATATATATATATATATTCCGTTTTTTCCATTGTTTCGTGACTCGAGTCATTAATTCGGTTTTCAGCCTTCGTAAGAATCGTGAGAGGACGTAATGTATTAGAACGTTTAAACGATTATTATATCGTCGGAGAATCGTGTCATCGTGTTGGTATCACGGTCCAAGTTCCGATGTTGAATACAAATTTTTCAACAATTTCCGGTTAGAATTGATTGTCTCTTCTTCTATCGTTTATCAGCAATAATAAGCATAATAAAATCGGTATATTTATCCAAAAGATATCCAAAATGTTGATACCGATAAATGGAACTCGCACTTTGAACTCTTGTTTATTGTTGACCAGCAACTCGTTACATCGAATAAAAAGTCGTTTGATTCGATATAATGAATTCACATTGTTGATAAAATGTTACTTATTTTACATTGTAAATGATGCATTCACTCGATTTTTTCACATTACAATGTGATAATCGAATGCAATTTAATATAAAAAATGATAATAAACATTGACATGATAAATATTTAATTAACGATAAAAATGTAAATACTGATTTTTATTAAATCGTAAATCACCAGATTTCCTAGAATTCATAAAAAAGTAATTTAAAATTCATAAAGTCGGTTAATTTATTGACAAAGAAGAAACACATCGTTAAACGAAGATTATTCGACTTACCGGTTTTTAGAGTTCTATTATATCGTAAATTAAATCATTAGACTTTACAAAATAAGTTGGAGAAATGCTGGGGAACGCCATTTTCGATGGATCTATTTCTATCTTCGACACTTTACAACTTTGTGTCTGTATTCGTATTTAAGCCGATTGTCCTACGTCAACTGATATTCCTGAATATTTATTTCGCCTATCATATATTCGCGAATTTCGAAAATTATTTTCGTTCACAGTTGTTGAAAATTTTATTACAGGTTTTTATTCTTTCTTTCTTTCTTTTTTTTTTCCCCCCCAGATAACTGTTTCGACATACACGTGAAGAAAGAAAGTGAAAAAGAATGACAAGCATGAGGCAGTTCGTTCGTTATGCACGTAGACTAGGCCAGATATCAGAGAGTGGGACAAAAGTTGTAAACCGGTTCGTGAAATATGCATCCACTCAAGCCCAACACAAATTCATAGAGGATGAAAATGGGAAAAAAATTTTTCCTTCGCCGTATGGTGATTTCACGCCTTCCGATACTCTCGTTCATGAACACATATGGAAGAATGTCGAGATGTTCCCTAATCACATTGCACTGGTAATATACGTGACACAAATAATTTTTCCATGCAAATTATTTTGTCTGTATTTTATTTTCGAAAAAATGTGCGTAAATATAATCTGATATAATTATTACGAATTATTATTATTATTATTATTATTATGAACTCTCGTTTTTAATAAAATTATTACGGCAATTAATGTATAATATTCTAACGTACTATCTGGTTATTATCGGTTGTTTTAGGAATGTTCGATAACCGGGAAGAAATACACGTACGCTGAAGCGAGGGACACGAGTAATTATATCGCGAGAAGTTTGAGGAATATGGGTTTGAAGAAAGGTAACATGGTGGCTCTGGTAACGCCCAATCATCCGGAAACGATTTTAGCTGCTGTCGGTGTCTTAGAAGCTGATCTTATTCTCACTACCATGAATCCCACTTACACAATCGGTAAGTAATAATTATTAAGAACGAGTAAAGAGTAAAATCGAAATATGCGTGAATAACTATTTAATAATTGTTTAATATATCATAATATATTATAAATATTTTAAATTATTTGCTTTTTATAATTGTACAATGATTAATTTTTTTGAGATTAACTTTTTTTCTTTCTTTATATATTAAGAAATGAATAAATGTTTGCAAGATTCCGTTACATTGATTCCATTACATCAGATATAAAGAAAAGTAAGAAAATGATATAAATATTTATAAAAAGAAGTTAGAATGAATATTTTAAATTACTTGTAAATTTTTATAATTGTATAATGATTAATTTTTTTTGAGAAAGCAGAATACGATTGAAATGAGTAACGGAATAAATTCAAAAAATTTATTTTGAGATAAACGTTGGTAACTAGTGTATAAATATTATGTGTAAAAAAAATATGAATTTATTAAGAAAAATCTAATGTTGCTTATTTAAATTTGAAATATATATATACGTTCGAATATATACATTTGAATATACTTTAAAATAACACATATATAATGTTCCTTCGATAACATTATCTGGTTTATTGCAAAAATGCGGGAAGATTAAAATACTGCAAGAACATATTACACTACATAAGTAGCACACTGAATCATATTCGAGCAATTATTAAATTCAATGCTGAAAATTAAGTTAAGTTTTTAAAATCAAACTACTTTTACTTTTATCTACGTAATTAATATAATTTTAATAATCTAATCTTCTTTTTTCGTTAAAATAAAGAAATTCTAATTACATAAATTATCACAATAATTACATATATATTTTTAATAAGATTTATAATTGCTTGATTAATCAGTGTAATAGAATGCATAATAACATGAAATTAACATGGGTGATTCATTTCGAACAGAGGAAATGAAGAAACAAATAAAGGATTGCGGGGCAACTGCGATCATTACAGCTGCAGAAATTGCACACGTTGTATTTGAAGCAAGGAAAAATACTTCTGCATCGCGAGGACCTTTCGTGGTTATCGAGGATGGCACCAGATCTATTCCCGAAGGCAGTGTGCCGTTCAAGGTGTGAATTAAAAATAATAACACGAGATGAGTAAACATTTGTATTGACGCGTGTTTACCTCATGTATTATTATGTGTTAATTTTCTTTTCTTTCCTTTTTTTTTTTTTTTTTAGGTATCTTGTCACACGAGGTAAAACATTACCGCCCATAACGCATTATCAAATGACCTCGAATGATCTAGCCATCTTGCCATATTCCAGTGGAACGACTGGGTTGCCGAAAGGTGTCATGTTGACGCACAAGAATTTAGTAAGCAATATGGAGATGGTAGAACATACGGCGCAAGAAAGAATGTGGCAGAATACAACTGGTGAATAACAATTTAGTTAAAACGTTAAAATTAAAACAATCAATTGGACGTCGAGTCTCGAGTTAACAAGATCAATCATTTATTTCCAGCCGATTTTCAAGAGGTGGTACCCCTAGTTATACCCTTCTTCCATATTTTCGGATTGAATGCCGCGGCGTTGCCTCGTCTTCATAGCGGTTCAAAAATAATTACTGTTCCAAAGTTCACGCCGGAAATATTCGTGGACGTTTTACAGAAGCATAAAGTAAGCAATTTTCGCTCGAAGTAGTATGAAATTTTCACACACAATTTCAATAATAAAAATATCTTCAGAAATATTGAAAAAAGTGTTTTGTCAACGCAGATAACAGGTTTATTCGCGGTACCATCTTTAATCACGTTTGTAAATATCTGTCCTTCGCTTAAAAAGGAGATTTTCCAAAATGTACATCACATTATCACTGGGGCGACACCATTGCCTGAGGTGGATGTAGAAAGATTTTACGAAAGATTTCAGATAAACAGCGATGACTTGAAATTCTCTCAAGGTATGAGGGATCGAATTTTCCAATTTTTTTCTTTTTCTTCTATAGTTGCAATGTTAATTGTAAAAATTGAAGGAAAAAAGAATTATTTTCTTTTTTTTTTTTTCCTCCCTCCTCTCTTCACAAGGATATGGAATGACGGAAACTTCACCGGTTATCTGCATGGATTCGTGGAGTCGAAAATCGGCAAGTATCGGACAAAACATTGCCGGCTGCGAATTACGACTAGTCGATCCAGCAACGAACGAGGATATTTCTATACCTGGTCAAAAGGGAGAAATATGGGTCAAGGGGCCTCATATCATGAAAGGGTATTTAAACAACGAGGAGGCGACGAGAGAGATGATTGTCGATGGTTGGCTGAAAACTGGGGACATTGGTTATTTCGACGACGAGTTTTATTTCTTTGTCACGGATAGAAAGAAAGATTTGATCAAAGTTAAAGGATTCCAGGTAAATGGAAATGGACGCGTTTCATCCTTTATCCGATTAAATGATCGATGATTATCTTTTTTTATCAATACTACAATTGTTAATTATTAATTATTAATAATTTTTTAATCGAACGAATTCTCCCGATCGAAAGCTTTTAATTATTTATTATCTATTAAACGTTGGAATACACAGGCTTGGAATTTAACAAATATTAATTTTACATTATTTGTAGCAAAAATTTTATGTATTGATCTTGCAATCGCAGTTTCATAATTCAATTTAGTATCAACGTAATTCTAATCACGTGTGTATTCAGTTACGTAAAACGTATGTTCCATATTTCAATTTATGTCAATCTGTATAGTTGATAAATATTAGAATTTATTCGTGAAATATCAATGTAATTAATTTAATGATTTTTTCTTCTTTTTTTTTTTTCCTTTTTATTTGAATTTCATCTCTTCGAAATTTTGCATCAGGTACCACCAGCCGAATTGGAAGCTTTGATAAAAAGACATCCAAACGTTGTGGAGGCAGCTGTGATTGGTATTCCAAACGAAAGGTTCGGCGAGATACCCAAAGCTTTCGTAATTCTCAAGGAAGGTAGCAAGACGACAGATGATGATATCAAAAATTTCGTAAAAAGCAAAGTGTCGGAATATAAGCAACTCAGAGGTAAAATAATTTTTCCGATCGTAGCTGCCATTTATTTCATATTTTTACAAACAACGAGCCTCGAGTGACTCGGAGAATTATTACGATAAATAATGATGATACGGCACATCGAACAAATAAAGCCCATAATCTGACGATAAATAATAAAAAAGATAATTTTTTATCTCTGCTCCGGTAATTTAATCCTATTTAATTATTATAATCATCGAATATTACTTATTCAATTACCTGAACGCCAATTATAAATTAGCGTTCATTGAATTCACCGAGTGCTCTATTGCTAATTCTATGCAGTATTTTGATCTTTGATCTAATAATCTAATGTAAATCATTTCAGAATATTAATTTTTATACATTATATTTTATTTTATATCTAAATACGTTATATCTAGATTATTCGTATACGTACAACTTCTGTCATATTCGCTACTGTCTTTTTTATGATCTATTGTTAATTAAATATTTTTATCACGTGTATTTCTAATGTGACACAAATGCGATTTAATGTGATTATAGGAGGAGTGACATTTGTTGACAATATACCAAAGAACGCAAGTGGAAAGATTTTACGAAACAAGTTGAAAAACGAGTACAAATAATAAAAAATTTGTGCACAAGATTGAAGGAGGAAATTTCACACGAGGCCTCGATTTACAGTTCGTATCATAATGGAATCAATTATCGATTAATAACAGGGTACGATTAATCATTTCTGTAAAATCGTTTGGCCTAATGACATATAAATCATTCAACTGTTATATTGATATATGGTGAAAGATATGTTAATAATGTTTGTTCACTTGTTTCGTGTACAATATTGTTATCTCGTAAGTGCCTTACAAGTGTCTTATTGATTACAATAATTTTTTTAATATTTTTACACACACACACATATATATATATATATACACACATAGCTATTTTAAAAGAATGGGTTTAGTAAAAATGAATACTTATGTACTTATTAGAATAGCAGGAATACGGTTAGAAGTGATTACGTGATTACGAAGTACATTTTTAAAATTATACGTATATCTTTTTTACTTTTAATGTCATTTTAATATATATATATACGCAAATATTATCGGTTTATTATTGTGCAATATTTGACAATGCAATTAATTTTTAAGATTAATTTTTTAGATATTAAATTTTATCGATTATTTTTATAGATCATTTGTATAAGAAAGTTACAGGAATTTTAAACTTTTTAAACAATAAAATCTTTTATAGTTTTATAGTTGTGTTATAAATAATTGCACACTTTCCAACAACATCTTTGCATGTTTATCGTTTTAAATAATTCTTAACCAATTTTGTACATTATATGTTAATTCGTCTTCATATCATCTCGATTTCGATTGATTAAAATCTCAAATCGGTCAATCATAATATTTTCATATTTTCATTCGGTCGAATGTTTATCAGACGCTTTATACTTTATAAAACTAATTTTTTCTTTAATTATATTTCATAATTTATATTCGAAATAGATAGGGATATCACAAATTTTTGTTATGTTATTATTATGAACAAGGATTAATTAAATTGGAATGAGTTTTATTAAAATAAATAAAAAAAGAAAGTTATCAAGCGATACTTTTTTAATTTTACATTCAAATATCTTCAATACAACTTCATACGTAGATAACTTTAATTTCAACTATAGCAACTATATCTATGAAACGGACATAGACTTGCGTCATTCTATTGCTATCTCGCTTTCGTTTAAACTTGCAAAATAAAATTGCCAACGAGAAATAAATATTCCACGGATACTTTTCCATCCTTCCAATTTTATTTCATTCTCCAAATTTTCACTCTTTAAATTTTCTTCCTTGCTTCATCACCACGTTGTGTATACCTTATCCCTCACACGATAAAATAAACATTCCACCCGAACGGAGGGTGATTCACTGTTCTCGAGATCTCAATGCCCGTTCTCTATTTCTTCCTTATTACGCATTCCGTGTGAATTCTACGGTAATCACCAATGCATCCCACCACCGCCTTCCTGCCATCCGAAAACGATTTCGAATTAAGGTTCCGCGTGTGAATTTCCGCGAGGTTGCGCTCGCTCGCGTGCCCGCCATTTAATCCCGCCACCCCTGTTGTTACCCCCAAATGCGCCTATCGTTTCGAGCTTTCCTTTCGAGCTTTGCCTTCGCGCCAGGGGGGAACAGGTGAAGGTGGCCGGGCTCGAATCGATGCTTGGAACTAGGCGAGGAGGGATGAAGGGTCGAATGGAAACAGACAGAGGTGCTTTCCACCTCTAAACGCGTGGCTTTGAGTGCGTGCTTCGATCCCCCGGGGGAAAAGAGATGAACTGTGCTTAATCCTGTTCCTCGGATAGAAATGGGGCATTCAACAGGGGGCAAACTGTAGAGGCAAGAGACGAAGCCAATTTCTTATATTTACTTTAAACGGGAGAAATATATTTGGGGGATGAGGGATTAAAAGAAGAGGTAGGTGGAGTAACAAAGTAAACGATGTAGTTAGTGCTTGTTTATTACAATTTTTTCCCTTCTTTTCTTTTTATTATAACGTATAACGTATAGGATTATAACGTATTATAACGTTTGATAGGATTTACCTGTTGATCTTGTTGTTGGAACGAAGTGCAAATTACATACGTACGTTACGGAGTCGAGAGAAATGGGAAATCTAATCGAACATCGAATTGTATCGTCTCAAGCGTATTCTTTATTCGTCTGTTCCTTAAATATTTTTGATTATTTTTAACTTGTAAATTTTGCAAAAATTCAAAAATCGTTTGCTCGTATTTTCTTCATCAAAAATATTTCTTCCATATATTATAAAACTACACGATTTATGACCGGTATCCCGATATTTCTATTTTCCTTTCCTCTCCTTTCTTATGGCAAACATTTCCATCCGAGGAAATGAAGTTTTCAAGACGAGTGACAACCACCAAAGTTGTCGGGCTCCCGATCCGTGAAGTTCCTTTCGATTGGAAACGTTCATCGGTGGAAACCCGTCGTGGAGAACCGTCGCGTAAACGTTGGGAATTTATTTCACGAGCGCGTTCAGTTTTCCAAACGATTCACCGGCACGGTTCGCGTTCGATAGAAAATAGTGTTGCCCGGGCGGAAATGGACGCAAACAAATCAATTGGTTTTCCGAATGAAATCAAACAAGCGCGCGAGACATTCCACCCCATCGACGACCGACCACCCTCCTCCTTGTTTCTCTTTTCCACGCCGCCTCGGCCAGGCCAACAGAGGGTTGGAAAATGAAAAATAGGGTGCAGAGGGGGCTGCACCGTCGTGACACCCATTATTTTTTTCTCGCCCTGCCACTGTTTCTCGCGTTCTTGCCAGTCTTCTTCTTCTTCTTGTTCCACGACCTTTATTCTTTTTCCGACTCTCGCGACGTACTCCAACGACGTAGTCGTGCTCCACTAACGATAGACGGAACTCTCGTTGAATGACAGTGAAAAGTCCAGCCCCTTTCCCTTCTTTTTTCTTCTTTTATTCTGGCTGCACTGGATCACTCGACGTTTTCGATTTATCAGCGTCATCGACGATTCGAAAGAGATCTTCGAAAGGAAAATTTTAGGTAAGGAAAGTTTGCTTTGAAAGTTTTAGTTCTCAGACGAGGATTTGGAAACAATGGATTTTATTATATTTGATCGTAATTGAAACATAAAAAATTATGAAAATCCTAATTAAAATTGTCTAATAACTCAGAGCTTCGTAACTTC